AAGGCGCTCCTGTCTCACTCTTTTCCACCTCTAAATTAAAACGAATCTTCTTCAATTACGAAACAATTCCCTCAACAAATCCGATAATAATTCAAGGATGTCATGACCTCCAAAAATCCACGGAATGTTCTCACGTAACCATTAAATCACTAATTAATTAAGCGTCCCAAATGAGGCAATCCCTCAATAATTACAACCAAAAAAAAAAACTTTCGTAACTCATGAAAAATTCACAACAAACCGGATATATTTTACATAACTCCTGACTTACGCTCTTTAAATTCCAAATTGGACGTACGCCCTTCATATTGAAGGGTACGCCCTTTTCATACAAAAATTCCCAACAAGTATAAAAAAAAATCACAAAAAATGTGATATTTTGTGCATAATGGTGGACTTACGCTCTTTAAATGCAAGCATGGACATGTACCCTTTGAATTCCAAGTTGTAAATACGCCCTTTTCACAAAAAAATCCAGCAAAATATAAAACTCGACAAAAAACCAATATATTGCTCATAATTATGGACATACGCTCTTTTAATTCCGAACGGGACATGCGCCTTTTCCATTCCAACTGGACATACGCCTTTTTCATTTCAAAAAATTTCAACAAATAAGAAAAAATCACAAAGAAGATCATTCAATAAATTTTAAATAGTCAGACTTACGCCCTTTGAATTCTAAGATGGATTTACGCCCCTTTACATTCGGAAGATGGAGATGCGCCCTTTCAATCCAAAAAAATTCTCAACAAATGTGAAAAAATGCAAAAAAAAAAATTTTGTAAATAATTATGGACTTACATCCTTTTCACAAATTAAAAAAAATAATAATAGAAAAAATAACAAACCTGATATATTGTGCGTAACCATGCCTCGGGTCCTCCAAGAGGAATCCCGGATTCCTCATTTCAATATTTTGGAAAACCATTAATACCCTCAGTCAACAAATCACAAATCACTCCCTCATCATCACACCATCAACGACAATTCCAAACGTTTGAATTACCACCGAATCAATAAGAATTATTTCACCACGTGGTTGAATGGACACTAGAACATGGCGTCACACCAGCATAACTCGCTGAATTCACCGAGACAATCATAGTGAATCGCAACAAAACGAACCCGAAATAAAATTCTGGCCAAATGCCGAATGATTAGCATCCAGTGACGACTGACATGTCAAAACCCCTAGGGGTTGAGTTCTCTATTTCGAGAATGGAGCGAGGAAGTGCATAAAAATGCAAAGAGGGGGGGGGGCAATTGCGATATCGAGGAAATCTCTTCGGACTTTCTAAGCGAGTCCTTCAAGAATTGAATTTATCATCCGATTTTTCAGCTTGTCTGACGATTGGTTTTTACTCGTTTGTTAGTTTGACGTTCAATTGTCCTCTGGTGAACAGAATGTAAAACGAACTAGAGACGCGTCCGATCACTACGGCTGTAGTGAGACGACTGGTGGGGAAATGGGAGGGACGGTGTAACCGGGTGTTGTTTGAGAATCGGTTGAGCAGTGGGGGAAGCCGACCAGCCGGTCTGCGTCGGCCAGGAATTCCCCTCGATGTAACAAAACCATGACTGATTGTGAGGTGATTCTGAAAGCACTGGATGATACCTAATTTTTCAGATTTTTTAAATTCGCGATGGGGGGGGACGATCAGGGGTCAGGCACGACAAGCTAGCCTCAAAAATCGGCCTGATCAATTTTTAACGTGGATACGTCTATTTTCATTGTNTCTATTTTCATTGTAGGGGGTGGGGGGGGGCACTTAGGGGAAAAGTCCTTATGGTTCCTTATCGTTAGTGGCGCCACCTCTCGGAATTCTAGAGCATTCTAGAAAATGATGGATTTTTCACAAAATACACTGGTTTTCATAAAAAAATTAAACGATATCGAATAAACTCGAGCGCCTCTCAAGGGCCAAAGTTTACATGTAAAATGATATTTTACATAAATGTTTTTTCAGACTAGTTTTTAAAATATGTATATAATGTAGATATTTACGTGTTTAAAAAAAAATTAGTTGAACAAAAAAAAAGGACAGCATGAAATGGTGTGAAACTAGTGTAATCATCCCAATAAATTGTCCGAACATACTTGATAAAGAATGCTTCACCGAACAAATAGAGCCCGAGTGCAAGCGTTTATAGATCGCTCCGCTCGCCAACCCCCATATGACCTCCATGATCGTTATTCTGGCCCTCATAACCCTTATTTTGACCCTCATGACCCTCATTTTGGCCCTTGTAACCCTAAATATTGGCGTCTTGATTTCCATTACCAAATTTTCATCACCAGAAATCGATTTAAATTTTTATAATACACAGAGAGGATCAAAAAATTACGAATGAGGAAGTTAATTGTTCCCCATTTAGCATCAAAAACCAGATGTTTAGCACAACTCTGTTTAGATAATTTGATTTAAAGAGATTTAGGTGATGGGATCACACGAGTTCGTTGGCTCCTCTGGCTCCTTCATCTGTCGGGTTATTTTAGAATCATCCCGAGAGCTACTGTTTTTGCATGCTGACCTTTTCTCTGTTGCACTAACATCCAGGGGGGGGGACTAATAAACCCAGCAACCTTTTATGAACGTCAGANGGGGGGGGGGGGACTAATAAACCCAGCAACCTTTTATGAACGTCAGACGCGTGTTTAATTCAATGATCAAACGAGTCTCAAGAGCATAACAATTAAACCGAGCTTAAGAACACCCAGAATGATAGGTGATTAAGGATATCCAAACACTCAATTTTTTCCAGACAATTATTACACATAATTTGTTGTCAATAATTATTATACGTAATTACACAGAAAAATGAAAATATATTGAATTTTTGTTCATAAAGATTTGGACATTTTTTCAATCGCTGAAATTCCCTCCAACAGTTGCTCCGAAAATTCTCGTTATTTATTGATTTATAAAAAGCGAGTGAAATTGAATAAAAAAAATAATTTCCTCACGTACTTCAAGAACTTGAATTCGTAGATTTTTTGGTCTGAAACCGTTAAAAAATTCATGTGTCCATGAACTTTCTAGAGAAATTCCATTGTTTTTTTTTTCAAGTGGAATTGCCTTTTTTTATTAAAAATAGAGGATATGAATACTGGACACAATGGACTCTCGCCGTACGATAATATAAATCCGCATTACGGTAGCGCTGGTGCACATTTCGTAGACGAATAATCGCCCCTGATATCTCATTTGCCCCGAGGGGCTTCAGAGCCTGGACAAAAGCGAAAGTAGCCGTGGTCAATTACACGCTCGTTACTGTCGTCACAATTGTCAGTCACAATTTTTTTTTCAACATTTTCTTCTCTTTTTTCATCATTTCATTTGTGTGGAACAGGGACCGCAGGATTTTCTCTTCGTTTTTCTGCGGTCGAGGGGCTTGAAGCGACAATCGTTTCTATTCTATTGATTCTTTTAGGTTTGAGAGGTTGGAGAGATATTCATGAGTTTGAATGATAAAAATATTGGAATGGATTTCAACTGAAAAAGGGCCAAAGTGCGTGGATATCCCCGGAAAAATTCACAAATCAATTGATAATTGAACATTGAGTAAACGAAAGTTGTCAGCCCTTTTGAATATTCTTCCCAGAATATTTTTATTCTACCTTCATTCTTTGTTTCTGTATTTAATGACTAATGCCATTTTTATTCCCACACGGAAAAATATATATTCAGAAAATTATATATTTTATGCAGGGATAACCAAATTTGCTATATTTTATTACGGTTACTTTTGTAGCCCTTAATTAGGTAACATCACTCTTGAAATTTATTGAGTACTTGAGTATCATCAATTCAAATACTCAAATTTTCAACTATCTTATCAACCAATAATTTGAGGTAGGAAGATTGACGATTACTTGTGTAATCGAAAACTCCCTTTCAAGGAATTTGAATTATTCACTTTATAGTAAATTTACAGTTTCATATTAACAAATTTTAAATATGTCATTATTCGCAAAAAATCAGATTATTAATATTACATTATTTGAAAAATTGAATCGACATATTTTAAACCTTCAATAATGCAAGGGTCAAATCCCTGTAATATTACAGAAATTTAATATTGATGGGGATCCCTGATTTTGTGTATGGAATTGGCCTGATTTATGTATAAAAATTACATAAAATATAAATTTATATATGTTTCATAGATAATTTATGTAAATCTTATATATATTCGAAGAATATATCAAATTGGCCTACATTATATATTTTTTTATATATTTTTCCATGGGAGTTGACACTCTCACGTAAACTGGAAGCCCCTTGTTTAGTTCCCTAGCTTCCATCATAATGAACTCTCAGTGACAAAGGATCTGATGCGTGCCAAGTTTATAAATAATAATGCGTAGATCATTCCAAAGCACTAAATTAATTACTATTTGAAATATTCGTGACTAATTAATGTTTTGGAGTCATCACACATCATGAATCAAATAGTATTTAAATAGTTTGCATCGAAGAAATATTATTTACACTGATTTCTATTTTCAATTGATGAAATAGTACTTAAATAGTTCGACTGAGGAAAACACTGTTGGAAATAATCGACCGAAATTTTCGGAAATTATTCGATTTCATTAATCAAAATATTTATCTATCCGAGACACATTCAAATCAAACAGCGATGGAAAGCCCCTGAATTCAGACGATTATCCCTCATTCATTGGGATTTCGTCACCTCCAAAACTCAATGAAGGTGATGAGCAATAGGAGAGCGAAATATTCTCAAGTAGTTTGTAATAATCCAACTCTCCATTGGAACAAAAAAATTCCATTTCACATTCATTCAAATAATGAAGCAAAATAAAATAGCATTTCCATTTGATTCACTTGAAACAGTCCCCAGCAAACGATGTTTTTGCCCCAATTATGAATATTCAAATTGCATGCAGACTCGACTTTCACATCGAGACTCGAGACCCTAGAGATCACAAACAACAACTTGTAAAAACATATTTCTCTCGAGTGCTCACTTACCTCTTGCAGCCACGCGTTGCATCCTCCTCGTCGGCCGGTGCTCCTGCGCCCGAGTCCTGGAACAAAAGTAATCAGAATTAATTCTCTCCTCTTTTTCCCTATGATTGTTTCTGTTTGAGTTTAATGATTGAGCAAAAGCAGGTCAAGCCCTCGACTCTCGTGGCTGAAAGTTTCGAGCTAAGAATACACTGATTGCACTAAATTCAAAATTGATGCTGACCTGATTTATTCAAGGAAAGAGTGCAATTATAAATCATAAGTTTTATCACAATTCACTCCTAAAATTGTGAAAATTAATAATTCAACTTTGTTTTCCTGATGATAAATTTTCTTTTCTACATTTCCCTGATTATCTTGACATTGAGTAGATCTAGGACAAAATGTCATAAGACAGTGTTTTTAGGGAATCAAATTTTGAACATAAAATTCCTTACGACATATTCTCCTAAACCCACTGATTATCGAGATAATCTCCTTCTAAACGAAAAAGATAAAAAACAAAATGTTTTTATTCACAACTTCACTCTCCAATTATTTCTGAAAAATCTGAACATGAGAGGCTTGCAAATAGGTTCATGGTGCTGACCTGATGTATCTAAAGAGTGCAGTTATAAATCATGAGTTTTATCACTATTCACTTCTAAAATTGCGAAAATTGATAATTCAACTTTGTTTTCCTAATGATAAATTTTCTTTTCCACATTTCCCTGATTATCTCGACATTGAGTAGATCTAGGACAAAATGTCATAAGACAGTGTTTTTAGAGAATCAAATTTTGAACATAAAATTCTTGACGACATTTTCTCCTAAACCCACTGATTATCGAGATAATCCCCTTCCAAACGAAAAAGATAAAAAAAACAAAATGTTTTTATTCACAACTTCACTCCAATTATCTCGATATTGAGTAGATCTACGAGAAAATGTCATAAGACACTTTTTCCAGATCACAAAATATGCAACAAAAAATCTCTTATGACATTTTCTCTTAACCCCCCTCGATCCCGTGATAATCCCCTCCTAAGCAAAACAAATAAAAAAACTAGATTTTTATCATGACAGTCTCACTCCTCAGTTACTTTCAAAAATCCCGACACTGGAGGCTTCAAAATCGGCTCACGACCACCTCGCGGAATCGGAAATTTCCTCGGCAAAGCAATGGCCCACAATGGGCCCACCCCACCCCCGCAATCCACCCCAGTACCATGTTATGCATGAAAAAGCACTCCTTACACTGTAATCCCCACATTCCAATCGAATGGTGCTGGATCTCTGTGTGCGTTTGGACTTGACTTTTTCAGTGTTCTTGTCCTCGCACGTGGACCGCAGGATGCTGGACCACGGTGAGGGTGGCTGTGGAGCGTCAGGTGGAGGTACAACACAGAGTAGTACACCTTTTTGCCGGAGTAATATCATGACGCGTGATTATTCACTCCTACTTCATTTCCATTTCATTTAATTTCTCTCTTAAAGACATTTTCCACTAGTGAACGAAGGGAAAATTCTGCTGTTTCATGCTGTGCACTTCTCCGTTCAATCGAGGGATTTTTCTCTCACGCATTAATTTATATCGGACTATTTTCCCAATTTGCCTTGCTCAAAATGACCGATGATTTTCTCCTGTCGTCATTAATCCGGCGAGATGCTGGGGAAAAACGAGATTTTCTGGTTCTCGAAACGGATCCGGATAAACTTGAGTGGCAGCTCAAGGGCATGTGGAGCCAGGAGTGCTAAACCGTACGGGTAGAATGCACTCACCCGACTGATACATTTAGGTATCTACTGTGTATGCGAATAATTTAACGTCTCGACGGGCTTCCCTGGTACGCCGCTAGGGGATTCAATTGTCGGATAATTGTCTTGGAAAATTTTAACCCTTCAATTTCATCCGTTAATTCAATCCCTGAAAGATCTCCCAATTTTTCCGAGTTTCAATTATGGGAAGAGAAATTGAGAATGATGAATAAATCGAAAAAATAATTCGGGGAAATTTCAGAAAAATTGAAATATTTGTGGAGTTGGATATTGTAAAAAATTGTCAAGTTAAATTAGAGAGAAAAAATTATAGTCTATTCAAATATGAGAAAAATAAATATTTTTTTGAGTTGAATGTGAAAATGTAAATGAAGTGAAATTAATGAGAACAAAATTGGTGAATTTCGGAAAAAATGATGAAGAACGTTGATTTTTTGTTACGGAGAATAGAATGAAGAAATTAATGAATTCGTTGAAATTTCAGAGTAATTGGAATATTTTTGCAGTTGAATATTTTTTAAAATAAGTAAAATTAAAATTGTAATGAAAAAAATTAACATTTTTTCGAGAAAATGAGTTAAAACTAAAGAGGAAAAAATGATAAAAATCATAATTTTTTTTATTATAGAAAATAAAATAAATTAAATTTAGAAAAAGGTTCAGTGCTTGGCAAAAAATTCTAAAATAAAAATAAACTCAAAAATCGAAATAAAAAATGAAAATTGACAAAAAATCTGTATTTCCTGATTCTGAAAATTTATGAATATGCAAAATGGTTGAAAACATTGCGTCCTATAATCTACAGAAATTGGCAGACACATGTATTTCACCCGATTGCGTAAACTTCAATGTTTTTGTCAGAAATGCAAAACTATCCAGAAGTGAGTTTATGCACTATTCTATTTTCGTTTTTCTATTTTTTCAAATAAAAAAAAACATGAAAAATCCGTTCCAATTCTTGGCCTGAGATAAGTGCATCGTTTTGATGGAACAGAACTTCGATTAAATTTTGTCTCGGCACTTTCGATACATTCACGGATGGTAAGAGAGTAAAAATCCCCTATTTCTGCACATGCAATTGTGAAGTCGCCAGAGGATCCAATATTAGAATTCACACGCCTCGGATATGCGTTCCAGGAAATTCGCGGGGATTTCGACACTAGGAAAATTCCGGATGTTTCTCGTATCACATGAAATTGTTATTTTACTGCGGAAAGACGAAATAAAAATTTTGTTGCGAAAATCAGAAACGACACATGTTTAATTTTCAGTCGTAATAACTATTTCTGAATTTTCAATTTCATTACATATCGAATTATCTCGATAACAGATAGTTTTAGGAGAAAATCTCAAAAACTTTTTTTATTGGAAATTTAATTCTATATAAAAATGTTATTTTGTCATTTTTTCCTAAATCCGTTCACCATGAAGATAATCGCGAAAATGTAAACATAAGAATAAAGTTTCTGCATTGTGCACCCCCCTCCCCCACAAAACTAAAAAAAAAAATCCTTTTCATCTCAAAAAAAACTTTTCCCCCGATTTTTTCACAAAAAATGAAAAAACACTTTTTTCCTCATGCCCCCAACACTGTCCAACTGTCCAGGTCCTCTCACCCCCTAAAAACCCCAAAATCCCTCGAAAAACAAAAATAAACCCTCAAAAATCCTGACAATTCCACCCCCAAAAGCAACTGCCAGCTGAATCACTCACCCCCTGAAGTCCCCTTGGATCCCAAAACCTCCGAAAAGCCCCAAAAAAACTCCACAAATCCTTTTCTGCCAAATAACCTTTTCCACCGATTTTTTTCCAAAAAATAAAAAAAAATCATTTTTTTCCCTCATGTCCCCCAACATTACTCAATTTTCAAGGACCCCTCAACCCCCAAAAATCCTAAAATCCCTCCAAAAAACAAAAAAATCCTCAAAAACCTCAAAAATTCCTCGCAAAAACCTTCAACTCCCCCTCAAAATTTCCACCCCCAACCCCTAAAACAATTGTCACCTGCATCCCTCACCCTCTGGAGTCCCTTTGGACCCCAAAACCTCCGGAAATCCAAAAAACTCCAAAAATCCTTTTCTCCCAAATAACTTTTTCACCGATTTTTTTTCCAAAAAATTAAAAACTTCCCTTTTTTCCCTCATATCCCCCAAAATTACCCAATTTTCAATGACCCCTCAACTCCAAAAATCCCAAAATCCCTCCAAAAATCAAAAAAATCCTCAAAAACCTCAAAAATCCCTCGCAAGACCCCTCACCGCCCATCAAAATTTGCACCCCAGCCCCCAAAGCAACTGCCACCTGAATCCCTCCAGCCTGGGGGTCCCATTCTACCCCATACCCCTCAAAAAACCTCCAAAAAGGACTCACCGAGCTCTGGGGTGAGCTTGAAACACTGGGCGATCGCTGCACCGTCACCAATGCCATTATCCCATCCACCTTTAACCGTTAAAAAAAAAGTGAACAAATCACTCCCCCAAAACACTGATCCCACTCACGACTCGCGTCAACGGCACATCCGTTATCTCCGCAAAACGCGTCACGATGGGATACGAATAATTCGTCCAGTCTTCTCGCTCATTGTTAATTTTATTTTTTTCTCTGTTTGTTAAAACGTCACTGAGGGGGGAAATAACAACACACACACGGCATCCGCACAGCTTTATTCACACACCGCCATGTTCGATGCCCAAATTCGGAGGGAATGACGACAGGTGGCGGAGAACGCGCGTGCGCGGGCATTTCCACACATTTATCGCTCATTTTAGGAGGGAATATTCAATTCACTAGCGAAGCGGTTAACCGCCTCAAGACGACTTGGCTCTTAGCTGAACTTTCGAGCAATAGGGGAGGTTGGGGTAAACAGACACTTTTGACTTTTTTTCAAATATTAATGAGGGGTTGAAATGTTGATGAAATTTAATCTTTTTTTTTCAATACAAAGAACAATTAGGGAGGGTGGGGTAAAATGGACACTTGACGTTTTTAAAAATGTTCATGACGTGTTGAATTGTTCATGAAATAAAATAATTTTATTTTTCAATTGAAAGGACGATTCTTTCCCTTTGTGACGAGTTTAGACTGAGCTCAATTGATAAATCTGTTTCTGACTTGGGAATATTTTTAAAAAAGCAAAAAGTGTCCATTTTACCCCACCTTCCCTTATTTCCCTTTGTGACGAGCCTAAATTGAGCTCAATTGATAAATTTGTTTCTGAGTTATGAATAATTTTAAAAAAGTCTAGTGTCCATTTTACCCCACCCTCCTCTATCTCCGAATCTAGGGGAGATCACGAAATTTTCGTAATTACCTTTTTTGTAGAGCAAATTGAGTGCTACAAAAGAGGTTTTGACAAAAATTAAGCTATCTCCCTTCGATTCCGTGATATTCACTAAAAACTGATCAATAGTCAAAATCGACTTAGACCGGTTTACCACTTCGCTGCTGAATTCTTTATTTCTTTTCTTTATTTCTTGTTTTACGTCTGCACATGCCTTCCTCCTCCTCCACAGAAAAACAACAATAATTTTTAGAAAACTGAAATAATTATAAAAAGTTTGCCTTGCGCCTCAACCTCGAGTAAACAATACTTATTGTGTTTATTTGCACTAAATAATTGCTACTGGAATTTTAAACGTTTAAATATGAGGAAGCGAATGGAAATTGAGAAATTGGAGGGAATGGGCCTATTTATCGATTGGTGAGAATTTTTTTTCAGGTTCGGTTGGTGTTTAATTGGTAGGAGGAGAGGTTAGGTTGTGCCGGTTGTGTTTATTCTGGTTTTCGAAAAAATTGGAGATGTCTAAGATATTTACGCCGATTAATCAGATCCGGCTCACTAATGTGGCCGTTGTCAGGATGAAGAAGCAGGGGAAGAGGTTCGAGATAGCCTGCTACAGGAATAAAGTCGTATCGTGGAGGACTAAATTGTGAGTTGACAGTTATTGCGTAGCATTGGGCAATCTTAACCTTCAAGGTCGATGATGGGGGTGTCACGAAATTACATAATTGTTTTGAATAGGGGAGGGTGGGGTAAAATGGACACTAGACTTTTTTTAAATTATTCATAACTCAGAAACAGATTTATCAATTGAGCTCAGTCTAAACTCGTCACAAAGGGAACGAATCGTCCTTTCAATTGAAAAATAAAATTATTTTATTTCATGAACAATTCAACACGTCATGAACATTTTTAAAAAAGTCAAGTGCCCATTTTACCCTACCCTCCTTAATTGTTCTTTGTATTGAAAAAAAAAATTAAATTTCATCAACATTTCAACCCCTCATTAATATTTGAAAAAAAGTCAAAAGTGTCTGTTTTACCCCAACCTCCCCTATTCAAAACAATTACGTAATTGGGGAGGGTGGGGTAAAATGGACACTTTCGACTTTTTTAACATTATTCATAACTCAGAAACTAATTTATTAATTGAGATCAGTTTAAGCTCATGACAAAGGGAAAGAATTGTCGTTTGTATTAAAAAAAAATACTAAATTTCATCAACATTTCAACCCATCATTAACATTTTAAAAAATGTCTAAAGTGTCCATTTTACCCCAGCCTCCCCTAATTGAATGAAATAATTTGAAAAAAACTTCGATCAATTATTTCAAACAGTATTTTCCCCACTCGAACTATTTAAATACTATTTCATCAGTTGAAAATAAATTGAAATTATTTCAAATGGTATTTCTTCGATTCAAACTATCTGAATACTTTTTATTCGTGAAGTTTGATGACTCTGAAACAGTAATTAGTCACGAATATATCAAATAGTAATTCAGATGATATTTTTCCCAGTAATTGTTCACCAAATTTAGTGTTTTGGAATGATTTACCCATTTTTATTTATAAATTTGTGACTAAAAGTTCATTATGATGGAAGCCAGGAAGCTAAGCAAGGGGCTTCCAATGTATTCGAAGAATAAAAGCCGAATAAAAGAATTCTGGGGAGAATATTGAAAAAGCTGACAACACTCGTTCCCTCAATGTTTAATTATCAATCGATTTGTGAATTTCTCCGGGGATATCCCCGCACTCCGCCCTTTTTCTGTTGAAATTCTCTTCGACACTTTCATCATTCAAACTGAATAATTAACTGAAATAATATTTCTCCCCCTCACGTTTCTCTTCACCCACAGAGAACAAGACATTGACGAAGTTCTCCAGACCCACACAGTCTTCACGAACGTCTCAAAGGGTCAAGTAGCGAAGAAGGAGGACCTCCTGAAGGCCTTCGGCACGGACAACCAGACAGAAATCTGCAAGGAGATCCTCTCCAAAGGGGAGCTCCAGGTCTCCGACAAGGAGAGACACTCCGCCCTGGACTCAATGTTCAAGGACATAGCAACGACAGTATCCGACAAATGCGTGAATCCAGAGTCGAAGAGGCCATACCCAGTGTCAATGATAGAAAAAGCGATGAGGGACGTCCACTTCTCGGTGAAGCCCAACAGAAACGCCAAGCAACAGGCGCTAGAAGTGATTCCCCAGCTGAAGTCGGTGATGCCCCTGGAGAGGGCGCAGATGAGACTGCGGGTGGTGCTCAGTGGTAAAGAGGCGAGGAAGCTGAGGGATAAGACCGTCAAGCTGGCGAGTAAGGTCGAGACCGAGAACTGGGACGGGGGAACGCTCAATCTGACGTGTCTCATAGATCCTGGGAATTACAGGGAGATCGACGAGTTGATCAGGAGTGAGACCAGGGGGGCTGGCATTGTGGAGCTCGTGAATCTCAAGGAGGTGACTGAGGGGGAGGAACTGTTGGAGTGATTTGGTCTTTTATGGCGAGGGCTCAAGGCAACACAATTGGAAATAATTGATTGAACCAATATTCATTGTTAACATTGTTGAATATCGCTGACTATTCATGGCGATTTTTTCTACGATTGGGGGGATTGAAATACTATCTCTCAAATTTTTTCAGAATTTTTCGGCAGCCCAGTTTAGAGATGTGATTTTTTTCTCGTTTTCACGTTTTTTTCAATAAGTCGAGGTCTATCCATGCAAATTTGATTTATTAAGCGTCAAAATTTTTCATTTTTTATTGCCTATACCATTGTTTATCGAAAAACTGAAGTTTTCTCTTTATATTCTATCAATTACAAAAAAAAGTAGATAGACACCTGTTTTATATTTAAAGATTTAATTACCCATAATTCGATAAGTTTTCACATAAAAATCATAATATATACAGTAGAAGTTACGTCATATGAGTAAATGTTCAGTGTATAACGTTTCCATAAGTCTTCTAAACAATTTCTATACAACATTGATTCGATCAAATGAACTGTTTCATTATTACATGAACAACCCAGTCCAACAATTATAATTAATTACTGAATCCTGAATTTCAACGTCCGAGCAACAGAGCAAAATGAAAAATTACATTTTCTATGAGACAAAAGTCTGATAGAATGGACAAAATAAAGAATGTTCATTGTGCAACTTTCGGATAATTCGTGGGCAATATCTGAATACACATGTTTTTTCTAAGACGACAGGACTTTTTTACCGCAATGAAGGCATTTAGTTCTTCATTCGCTTCTACTTTGAGTCTCATTATTAAAACTATTTGGTTCATAATTTATTTCTCCTCTGGAATTTCCGCCCGCGGGATGTATATATTCTCCGTACGTTGATCGCACTTGGCTGCTATTCTCGATACAGTCAGAAGAAAATCAGATAATCTGTTTAAATAATTTTTTGCTTCACTGTCTAGTGCACCATCGTGCACTAGTTTTTCTACTGTGCGTTCAGCTCGTCGGCATATTGCTCGGGCTACGTGCAATGATGCACTGGCCTTGCCACCTCCCTGTGAAGAGAGAAAAGGATATTTTATGCATTTTATTTCGCACGGATTATTTCGCAAATATCTCCGAATCCAACAGGTTCAGCGAAAAATGTCAAATGTCCTTTTTCGTGGCCCCCAAAATTCTCTACAAAAAATGTCTCTTGATAAATATCTCTGAATCCCTTCCCTCCGAAGAGATCAGCCAAATAACCGAGAATAAAATTCAGTTGTGAAGCGGTGAAACAGGATGAGTCAACTCAACTTCAGACTGAGTTTTTGATGGATATCTCTGAATCCAAGAGAGATGGCGAAATTTTTATAAGGACCTTTTTTGTAGATCTCACTTCGCCCTGCAAAAAAGGTCTATACAAAAATTTTGCTATCTCCCTGGGATTCCGAGATATTTCCCAAAAACTGATCTGTTTAAAGTGAAATTGACTCATCCTGCTTCACCACTTCACTTCTGAAATAAAACAACTAAGGAAGACATCGAAATATTCATAAGAAATGTCTCTCGACATTTTCCCCTGAAACCACTCATCATCGAGACGATTAAGTATTAAACAAGACGTGGACAATTGACTCGTCACGTTTAACCACTTCACAACTGAATAACTCTCCAATATTACATACAGATTACTTCGCAAATATCTCGGAATCCAATGGGTTCAGAGAAAAATGTCGAGAGGGCTTTTTTGTGGCTCACAAAATTCTGTACAAAAAATGTTCTTTGATAAATCTCTCTGCGCCCCTTCCCTCCGAAGATATCAGCCAAATAACCGAGAATAAAATTTAGTTGTGAAATGGTGAAACAGAACGAGTCAACTCAACTTCAGCCTGAGTTTTTCATGAATATCTCTGAATCCAGGGATAATAAAAACCACTCACAGGGATAATATAATCCTCAGGCGGTGGCAAGTGGTTTGCATACTCAGTGATCCACTCCTCCAGATCCCTCGTGTGTCTATCCTCAAACAAATTGCTCCTCTGATCCCTGGACCTCGATATTGCGTGGTTCAAGTCGAATAATATCATCTGCACCCTCTTCAACTTGTCCACGTAGGGGTGCTCCACACTGCTGTCGCAAGCGAACTCTCGCGCGAGCCCTATGTAACAGGAAAGCTCGTCCGTCGCTCCGAGGGCATTCAGAATCAATTCGTCATTTGGTTTTGCCTCTGTGGAGGATCGGCCTGAGGGGCCTGACGTGTCTTGGTATTTTGGGAGACATGAGAGGGCTATGTTTGATGCTTTGCTGCTGCTAAGAAAATTAATAATTTCGGTAATTGATTAATTAATTAATTGATTAATGCATTAATCAAATAAATCATCAATTTAATTAATTATCTCTGAAAGCAATGGACAATTCTCCAGGAAGTTTTGATCATTTGTTGGCTTTTTTTATTGTAAAAAAAAGTAAAATAATTAATTTTAGGCAGATGATTAATTACAACTGATTAATTAAAATTAATTGAGTATCCAAAATTCACAAATATTTCTGGAAATTCTTCCTCGATAAAAGAAAATTCAATTCCTGGGAGAAAAAATTATTAAAATTAAGTAACCAAACAATTAATTAATTGAATTTAATTGATTTTATTCGGTTTTCTTTAAATTAAACAAATTCTTAATCATGAAAAAACGTAAAATAATTAATTTTCGGCATATGAATGATTAAAAAACAATTGATTACGATTGTTTAATTAAAATTACTCATGAGTTCTTGATCACAATTGATTATAACTCATTACCAAAGTAATCAATTGATTAAATAAGAAATTAGAATTCATCAACTGTCACAAGCTTAAAATTATCACTAAAAATTATTCATTTAAAAAAAATAATTTTTACAATTTCTCGTTAGCATTTATTTAATTGATTTCATTCCAATTGTTCACCAAAAATAAACAATCTCTTTATTAAAAAAATGATGCAAAATATTATTATATTGAGCAAGTGTCTAACAATTCGCAGTACTCGATTAATTCCCCCAATTACCCACTGAAAAACCGAATGAAGTAATTTTATTTCTCAAGAAAATTACCCTAAGCAGTTAAATCCGGAAAACCCAAAATTCCGCCGGAGAAACAATTTTTTTGAATTTAATCGGAGAATTTAGAGGTTATGAATGCCGTTAATACCTGTGCCTGATGACTGGCTGCAGTCCTGACCTGTAAACATACGTCGAGGACCTCCAGACGTGCCTAGCAAGTTCCATAATCCCTCGATCACCAGTTAACTATTATAAAGTAATTTTCTATCTCAATTATTTCCAGTTTATTGACGACTATTTTGCGGATTTAACATGCCGGTACTTTTGCGTCTTGCGGACTCTGCATTATCCATTGGGTCCTCAATAATAATTTATCCCCCTCTCCTGGGGGGGGGGTCGTTTGTACAATCTGTTAGTAATCAAATTATCATTAAATTCATTTATTCATGTAATTAAGCATTTTATTCCTTTACGACGTCCATTTACATTTCACTTCATAATAAAATCGCTGCAATTTTTCAAAATTCATTCTATAAACAAATAATAGAAATAAAAACTTTAAAACATTCTGGCGAATAAAAAACATGAATAATGTTGGATAATTTTTTAACTGAACAAGTTTTCAATTCTCAGAATTTTTCTACTTCTGGTTTTCAACACTTTCGTCATGGATCATTCAAAGCAATAAATAAACAATAGAAAAATGAATTATTCATGTAATAATTATCATAAAAAATTGACCTTCAGGATACGAAAACAATAATGATGCGCCTCTTCCTCTTCAGATAATCACGTTCCCCTCCTTATCATCACCTCCACCCCAAATATTGTGACAGAACAGCTGGGCTGAGATACTTCCTGTTTAAGGTACCCTAAAACCCTTAAATGTCAACCAATTAGTAATGCAGGGATTGTGGATGCGTTGCTTTGATTGCATGAGCTTGAAGGTTTTTAGGGTACCATAAACGCTGCGAATTCCAGCCCTGGGCTGTCACGTTAGCTGAGCAAGCCATCAACACGTGTATCGAATTACCCAGTCGAGATGTCTTGACTCTCGCAACTCGCATAAGTCCTACACTTGATTATGTCTTCAAGGACTGCCACTCTCCCAGTATTTCAAGAGCACGAGAGGATTCAGTTGGAATCCACCTCTTGACTCGAGACCATGTTCCGAAGCTACCTCTCCATACTTTTAATTTTTTTCTCCGGAGTTTTATCGCACGATAGCTCAACCAAGTTGAGATGTGATCGACTCAGTGACAATTTCAAGTGCAGATTGTCTTCAATAACGCCCTACAGATACATCGCCAACCACAATGACTCGGAAATAAAATTTAAAGGTGAGGAAAATCATACTGTCAATATTATTTGGAGGAATATTCATCCGTTAATTGTTGTTTCTGTGATATAGCATAATAATAACAGATGGTACGAACGAACGTAAGTGAGGTGAACACCAAAAATATAGACACCTTGTCCGCCAGTGGCTCTCGACCGAAGCACAATAAATTAAGTGATCCTGCGACTGTCTTCTATTCGCATCATATTACAATTCAATTTCTCATTTATGAACGAAACGATGTGAATACAAATTTCAGGGGAAAAAAAAATCGGCGGAGGTTGGGTTTGAACCCACGACCCTTAGGTTTCCAGTCTGAGACTTTCCACACATGACTATTCACTCGCAGAATTTTTTGGCCCAATATTTTTCATTCATCTTTTATTCGTGGAAGCATTATCGTTATTGTCATTATTGATTAATTATTGATAATGAGCAAATAAGTTATTAAAAATAAAAGAACAGTGAGATATAAAAAAAAGAAGAAAGGGTTCAAATTTAATATTGAAAACTACAGTATTAGGTATTGGTGCAATGTTTGATATCAATAATTATAATGATGATAATTATTTTGTTGTAAAGATTGTGAAGAAAAAAAAATCTGGCTGATCATAAGACATGGGACGAGAAGACCAGGGAAACACGTGTTGAAGGCTCTGGGAGAACTAGAGAGGATCAGGGAGGCTGTGATAAATAAATGTGATTCTGAGAGTTGTGACTTGACGAATAAAGAGTTGAAGAGATTGCGAGATTGGAAGAGTGACTTCGCGGATGAGGAGGACATGATTTTGACCGAGGAAGGGGAGAACGAGATGATTGGACTGGGGGAGAGGTTCCAGGCGAGGTTTCCTCGGTTGATGCCTGACAAGTTTGATAACAGAACGTTCAAGGTCAGCTCTAAATAATTAAATTGATGAATAAAGCAAATTAACAACCCTTCCCTGAATGAAAAAAATTAATGAAAATTCGAATTGATATTAAAATTTAAATTTGGTGTATTTTTATATTTTAATGTAGTAATTATTGAAGGAGATGATATCAATTTTTCCGCAGTTTAAATTTACTCAGAAGCAGAGGACGGAGGAGAGTGCAAAATCTTTTGCCATTGGATTATTCGGTAAAAAAGGGAGTAAAAATGTCTGGTATCCCCCAGCGGAGATGAAGGATCCTATATTAAGAGTATGTACCCCAATCTTTTCGAAAAACCAATGTTAATCATTACTTTTCGTAATATGAAAATTATTAATTGATACTTATGCGATTTTAATGCGATTCACAAAATCAGTAATTTCAATTATCGAATTGAAAACTGAACAATTAATACTAAATTACCTAAAGTAATTACTGATGTCAATTGTGTGAAATTAATCATAATTGAATGTGGTAAATTTGGGGATCTCTATCGAGAAATAAAATAATTTTTCTGTTAGTTCTACAAAGCATGTGACAGATGGCAGGAACAAGTAAAAAAAAATCCCAAATCTTATGAAGAAACGAATAAATTCAAAGAGTCAGATATTATCCTGAAGATGCTGGAGAGCATGTCCAATCGTCTGGGAACTAACATCTCCTTTGGTAATAAAAACTGTCATTTTTGGAGAGCTTCGTTTCAGGGATATCCATCAATTTATTGTTGATAGCTACTGATTTTTCCAGATAACGCTCGAATAATGAAGGATCTGTGCGCCTTCGAGACCGCCTGGAGCGAGAAAAATGAGTCTCCCTGGTGTGATTTATTCACGAAAGAGGAATTCAAAGTGAATTATCTTTATGAATCTCAAAATAATGAATTAATCTCCTCATCGATTATTTATTATCGTCATCCATTAATTAGTTAATTCATCTCTTCATTTCCTCCCCATTTACTTATTCATCTATTCACTCTTCAATAATAAAAAATGAAAATCGTTACTTCCACATCTAATTCTCACTTCCCCTTCAGGTAATCGAATTTTCCCAGGATTTGAAATACTACTGGATCGACGGTTACGGTTTTCCCCTCACCTATCAGCAGGCTTGTATCGCAGTCAAGGATATGTTCGAGTCTATTGAGTAATCAGGCTATTCAATGCTCTCCCACACGACCCAGAATCACCCCCTATTAAATTCGTCTTTTCTTTCGTGATTCAGGCTTGACGATGGTCCAATGACAACTGCCTATTTCAGCCACTCAGGAACACTCTTGAAGATCCTTACACTTCTTGGTATATCAAAGGATGACAAACCAATTATGCACGATCAATTTCCCTTCGATGACAGATTATGGAGGACCTCTTATATTGATGCTTTCGCTACAAATATAGCATTTATTTTATTCAAGTAAATATTTTTAAAAAAATTATTGATCATTTAATTTAGTGAACAACTAGGAAAAATACAATTTGAAATTATTATTTTTTTTTAATTTTTAATGATAATAATAATTGATAACAATGAAATAATTTTTTAATGAAAATTCTTTATCTATATTTTCTTTTTTTTTTTTAATTTCATTTTCCCATGCTTAAATGCTGATTTTTTCAGTTGCAAGTCAACTGGACGAAGTATTCTAGTGATGCATCAAGAACGAATAATCAATCTTCCTGGATGTCCCGAGAATATTCCCTGTCCATTAGCAATCATGAAAGATAAATATCCGGATAACGATGACGAATGTCACTTTCAAGAAATGTGTAACACTTAAATTTAAGGAAAATGGAAAAATGATTGTTTTATATTGTGATGAATCTCAACTGCGGGAGCGATAATCAGCCAGACGAATGGATCTGATTTTTTTGGTGATTGAACATTCTTTGTAATTCATTCAACACGTGAATAGAGAATTTAATTGTAGAATTTTTATTTAAGTTAACACTGATTTAATCCAGGCATCAACGCTTTTTTCCCTGGGATAAATGTTTGTAATAAAAAAAATTGTTGTCAGGACTTGAAAAATATTTTACTATTGTCACTTTTATACGTATGTTAGAATGGTGTGATATGCCTTTATGTTTCAGTCCTGGCGGAACTATTGTGAATGAATAAATGAGTAAATAAATAATAAATGACTTGCAATTGTTATTCCGAAAAATGAGGGAACGAGAAAGACGGAATAGTTCCCTAGAGAATATATTATACGACGTCATGCAGCAGTCGTAATATGACTGCCAAAAATATACCGATGGTTATCCTAAATGTGAATCCATCAGAACTCCCCCATTCCTTCGACGTAAATATCTCCTCATCTGCTGCTGTCACACGGAAACGTGCGACGTTCCCACGATCTTCCAATTCAATGATGGAAGATGTAATTGTATAGAAAATAATCAACCTAATTCCGAAACAGGATGAACGAGGGAAAAAATAAAAGACTGATAATCGTGAGAGATAGATAAATGAATTGAGAGGCCTTGTGTGTAGAAAAAACTACGAGAGCTTGAAAATTTTGTTCACTTTTTAGGAACTGAATGAAATTAGTTGAAAGTGATATGAAGTGGATAAATAATTTTAAGAAATGTTTGAAAGTACGAGGTGGTCGACAGCTGGGCGCACGGGACGCCGCCATCTTTCTTGGATACCCCCTCCTGCCGCAAGGGGCTTCAAAAATGGCGGCGCCCCCACCTCGTGTTTCCAAATATTTCTAAAAATTATTTATCCTCTTCAAATCACCGTCAACTCGATCCATCTCCTTGATACAAAATGAACAAATTTTTTAGGCCATCTTTCAGATTTTTCTATACCCTTTTGACTTAAAATTCACGGCGCAAATATGGCGATTAAATATTCGATTGTGGATTAAAAAAAATTAATATACGTTTAACGATATTTTTATTCATTATCTTACGACATCATCTCTCGAAATAATTCATCCCAGTCCCCTCCAAAAATTTATTCATCACCAATTGGAATTCCCGAATTGTCGAATCATTAATTGGCACTCGAGTGAATCACCAATGGGATTTCGGCCCCGGGAATGTCAGGAATGTGGGTAATAGCCGCAAATCGACCTCAAGGATTCACCTATACATAATACATCGGGCCATCTGTTGTTTCACAAATAGAAACCGGAACACCCGATGCAACCGGAAATGAAAGTTCTCTTAATCCACAACTGCAACAATAATAAATACCCCAACGGGTATTGACAATGAAGGAGAGCTCGATTCTTCCTTATTCCCGGGGGACTAAATCTGCTGAATGTGAGCTAGAAACCGTCGATATCACAACAGGAAAGCATAAAAAATCCTATTTGGATGCTGCACTCTCGGATAAAACAAATCTCCTCTGCATATCTTACTTTTTTTCATTATTGGAAATCAGGTTCGGGGATCTGTATCCATTTGTATTAAGGGTGAAGGTGAAATATATACGAGGACTTATCAGAGTGCATCTTGTGAATGGACAACGGCTTTCTGCAAGATTTGAAATACATTTTTATTACATTTTTTTTTCATGACGTGTGATAAAACATTGCTAATATTTTCGTTAATTTCTGACCCTTCACGACCCTTACAATTTACAAAAAAAATATATAATAATCAATAATTTTTTTTATCAATTTTTTTGTCAATGGATAATTGTTTTTTGCAGGATTTGAAATAAATTTTTATTTCATTTTCTTCTCATTTTTATTTTCGTTCATTACTGATCCTTCACGACCCTTAAAATTTTTAGAAATGATTTATCATATGGGAAGATGTTTTCATGCAGAAAAAATTATAATACTCTGAAATTTTACCGCAAAATATTCAATCAAATTTTTTCTTCAGATCTCTTCGTTTTTTATGTAGAAAATAATATAATAATAAATGATTTTTTTTATCAATTTTTTTTTCAATGGACAATGGCTTTTTGCAGGATTTGAAATAAATTTTCATTATATTGTTTTTCATGACGTGTGATAAACCATTTGTTATCCCACACTTTCTCATTTTTATTTCCGTTCATTTCTGACCTTTCACGACTCTTAAAATTTTTATAAATGATTTATCATATGGGAAGATGTTTTCATGCACAAAAAATTATAATATTCTGAAATTTTACCTCAAAATATTCAATCAAATTTTTTCTTCAGATCTCTTTTTTTTATGTAGAAAAAAAATATAATAAAGAATTTTCTTTATAAATATTTTTTTCAACTTCACGATTATTTTTCATCAACTCCAGCAGTCACAAATCACCTGGAGGTCACCACGTGTTTTCCCCCCGAATACCGTTTATTATTTCAAATTCAACGATCTCACAGACCATAAATTCACGGATGTTGCATCTCCCCTGACTCACATATGCGTTTCCAAAGGCGGTGGGCACTCAGTACCGCGCGAAAAATCCCCCGCGAATGATCGAGCAAAATCGATTGCGGCCAGTGGAGCATTAATTCCGGAAAAAACGGAATGAGAAGTTGAGGGAAAAAAAAAGAAAGAAATAGAGGATCGAAGGGACTGATGGAATCTGTCCCGGTGCGTGCCGGAGGTGAAGATCCATCAATTTGACACGAGTGCTGTTGATGGTGGTTTGATTCAAGCGGGAGTGAGCGGGAGAGAGAAAAGGGTGAGGGAGAACAGAAGCGCCTGTTATTGGGATTTTTGTGATTCCAATTGATTGCCCGATGTTGAGGCACCATGCCAGTGTCGGTTAATGTGTCGAGGGATACTTTGCAGCCGCTAACACCTTCGGTGAGTGACGAAATTGTGGGGGCGGGTGGGTCAAGCGATCTTGAGGGTCAACTTTTCTTCTTCACTCGTCTCTCCCGTTTGCCCCTCAAGACCCTTTGACTCCGCTGTTCCTATCACGTGGGGTTATGCTCGCAAAAGAGGGAAAGAGGATCGTACGAAATAATAGTATTTAAACACGTATTGAGTCATTAATTATCGATATTAATTGATTAGGATAAGGTATCTTATGTAAAGACTCAACTGGTCGACTCGAGGGTCGACTCTCTGTATAAGATAGTTCGAGCCCCGAGCGCTCGAGGATTACTCCCACTCCCGGCACCTCCATCGCCTCCCGAATGTTTGACTCCCAGTAATTTTTATAAGATACACGCAGAAAAAAATCGGCCTGAGTCAAACGAAAAATCGACTTGAATCAAGTGAATATCTGCTACCTGGAACGGGCAGAATGTCGACGCCAATCTCGCGATTTTTCGGTTTGAGTCAAGTCGATTTTTCGGTTTGATTCAAGCCGATTTTTCGGTTTGATTCAAGCCGATTTTTTATTTGATTCAGGCCGATTATTCGGATGGACACGTTTTTACTTGAAATAAACCACTTTTCGACTTATATCAGACCTGAAATCCGGATTGGCGTAGTTCGAGTCAGTGGGCTTGAATCAAGTCGAAAATCGACTAGAATCAAGCGGCCGCCGACTTGAATCAGGACTTTTTTTGGGTGTACCCATGGGTCAAGCCGTTTTTGACGAAAAAAGAGTAGTCATAAGGGTCCAATAACTTGAGGGTCAAAACAACCTTTTGACCCTGATGACCACTCCACTCGTCTCCCCTGTTCGACATAATTAATTTCGCAGAATAAGTGATCCAAATATTTCAAAGCGAGAAAAGGTTGAATCGAAAAAAACAAATCATCACTCCTGATGACGTCTGATCCGATTTCCTGTCGATTGCAACCGCGGAATGATCGCAATTCTGAAATGTATGTTAATCCACTAGAAATTTATTCTACCCCACTCCAATCGCACACACATCCTGAAAGCATTCCCCCGATTTTGCGGTTTGTGAAGGCATTTCTATTCCACGTACCACACTATTTAATTAATCTGTGGGCCGCCTCCACTGCTGAATTTGTACGTTGATTATCCATTATTATATGATAAATCAGTTCGTTCTGGGCATTCCAGAGTCCTCCGCCTCTCAAGGTATTCAATCCGCTATTCGCGGATTGCATCATTTATTAATCAATTATCCTGTAGTGATTATCAAACGGGTTCATCAAAATCACGTGAAATTGTATTGCGAGTTTGTTAATGAGGTGATGGACAGGGGCCTTTTTATATAAAAGACACCTTGAGACCGCAATTTTTACCTCCGATCAATTAATATCGATAATTCATCATGTCCCTCTGTCGAAATTGAAAAATACTAAAATAATTCATAATCTTAATTTTCAATTGATCGTGAATTAAATACATTTTCTAAAACCATCATTTCACCACGTTTCCTCACATTCTACATCATTTCCAGGCAAAATCAGAGAATGTCAAAATCCGACGAATCCAACGCTTCCGTTCGGAAGCCGAACACGGAGTCGACTGAATTCCTTACATCCCGTCACGTTCTACGACTCTTCCGATCAGTTATCCAACTTGCCCGTCCTTTCCTGTGCATCCACCCACGTAAAACCCTCGACACACGTGTAAACCCCTTCAAATATCTTCCGCATTGCAGGAGGAGCGACGACGGACGGGTCGCTACCTCGCTGGTGGCGCAGCCCTCGCTGTCACGTTGCTGGTGACCCACCACGTGCTCCTGAAAGGTGCCTCAGCAGCTGCTGGCATATGTATCCCCGCCATCTTCATGACGTGTTACATACTCTGGGTGGTCTACACAGTCCGCAGGGACAGGGCGAAGGTCAACATCACTCATGCAATTTATTTTTTTAAATTCAATTCAGGAGCGAAGCGGTAAACCGGGTTAAGTCGATTTTAACTGTTGACCAGTTTTTGACGAATATCTCGGAATCTAAAAGAGATACAAAAATTGTTGTCATAACCTTTTTTGTAGAGCCAACTGAGGGTTACAAAAAAGGTCATGAGCAAAATTTTGCTATCTCTCTTAGATTCCGAGATATTCATCAAAAAATGGCCAAAAGGAAACATCGACTTAACCCGGTTTACCGCTTCGCTACTGAATTCAAATTTTTTTTTCCAATATTTATTTATTTATTTATTTCATTTCATTCATTTCATTCATTTCATTCGTTTCATTCATTTCATTTATTTCATTCATTTCATTCATTTCATTCATTTCATTCATTTCATTCATTTCATTCATTTCATTCATTTCATTCATTTCATTCATTTCATTCATTTCATTCATTTCATTCATTTCATTCATTTCATTCATTTCATTCATTTCATTCATTTCATTCATTTCATTCATTTCATTCATTTCATTCATTTCATTCATTTCATTCATTTATTTTTAACATGATTTTCCGCAAGGGTTTTGCAACTTGCCATCGCCCGAAGGCCTTCAGCCAGCAATATTTTTACATGGAGAGAAATGTTCAGTAAAAATTACGGAACTCAAAGTTCGCTCATCGATTACGGAATCGATTCAGAAAATTTAAGTGACGGTATCGTAACTTTTCACAGGAGATTCAGATAAAAATTACGGAACGCTCTGGTAAAATTCCGTGACAGTTCCGTAATTTTTATCTGAATCTTCTGTGAATCAGAAAATTTAAGTGACGGTATCGTAATTTTTCACAGGAGATTCAGATAAAAATTACGGAACGCTCTGGAAAAATTCCGTGACAGTTCCGTAAAATTTTCTACAACCACATTTCGCTCCGAAATTACGGAAAAGATACGTAATTTTTATTGAATATTTCTCTCCGTGTATTTCAAATAATTTCGAGAGATTTATTGGTTGAAAAATTTGCCGTCGCCACCCGACGAGGCGTTTCAATCCCCCATTTATTTAGCTCTCACATGTTTATTGAGCCTCAACCCTTCATTTTCTCCACGTTCGGGTATAATTTCATCTCGCGAATAGAAAGGGGAAAAACAAGTTTCATGATGCAGATAAAACTCCACTGGCTTTACGCCGCAATTAACGTCTGTTTAGCTTTGGCGATCGAATCGCGTGAAACAACGGGTGTAAATCATCGCCCCGGTGTATAACCAGAGTCGGTTGATAACCCGTAACAACATTACTGGGTTCATGTTCCTCAGCATGTTGAACGTGTGGCTCGCGTTGCGCTGGAAATTGTGCTTGATTTTGAGGGGATTTGATTCTTCGATTTGATGAATATTGTTACGAGGCTCCAATTTTCCCAATTGCATTCCATCGTGCATGCATTATTTTCTTTCCTCTCCTCTGGAGTTAACTTCTCTCAATTGTCTTCATTCATTTTTGTCATTCATTTTGACGTTTCAACATGTAATTTTTTTCATGCCTCATTTGCCTCAATAAACATTAATTACATAATAACAACCCGCTAAAATTTTTAGTCTCCAATTCCCAATTTCTGTCATTTATTCCATTCATTCTATCAAAAGATAAAAATAGAAATCGAATTGATGGTTAATAATAAAATATAATCATTATAAAACTGAAAAATCAATTATTTGAAATAATGATAATTCTTTTCAGTAAAATATAATAATTGTTTTTCAATTTAATGGAATTCTTTCTTAATCGAAAAAATATATCGATTGTCAAACTTTCCGAAGACATTGAAATTTTTCATTAATTAATTTTTTTAGTTCGTCCCACGTTTAGATATCCCTGCAATACTTGAAGAAAAAAAGTGATTCGAAGTTCCCCTCGACATAAAAGAAAAAAAAATCCATTTCCTAGCCGATTATCATTTCTGATTCTTTTTTTATTTGATTTTCCCCATTTCAATTCAATAAACATTAATTAATAAATATCGACGTGCTCTTCAATATCAATAGTCACTGATTGAGACGTCGCAATAAATTCAATTATGTCATGTGAATTTCCCCATGACAATACGAATGAACTTTTAACCAAACAGTCATAATTATTCATTATCCCTATATTCATCGAAATAAATCGTCCGAACTTGACAGAGAATGTCTCAACGAACAAATTGAGCCCGACTGCCTTGAAACCGCATGAAATGTGTGACTTGAATAAAAGTTCATAGATTGAATTACCGCTGAATTGAACAAATGTCAACGATTCACAATTCATGTTAATTTATCAATTCTCAAAATCGTATTTTTCTAAAAAAAACAATAATTCTGTTATCTTCTGAAGTAGGCTCGCCGCTTGGCCTCGGCGATGCGACTAACGGAAGTGATTAGCGCCGCATCCCCTCGCCCACAGCCCAGAGTTTTGCCATTGGAGGACGACCGAAGAACAATGAGGTCGGTCACAACGAATAATGAAAGTGACGTGAATGGACTCGATAATGCTCATCACATTAAGTGATGATATAACTAACGACAAACAATAAACCAACGAATATTCCGTGCGCCCCCTCCCCCCCCCTCCGCCCACCCCACCAAATAAATCTCTAATGTTATTTTTTGTACGAAAAAAAACAATCGAAATGAAACAGTTTTAACGAGCGAAAGTCTCGAGTATATCCTCTCTCCTTCATCATCAGCTCTGAAAATCCCCAAATGGCCGCAGGAGAATGGAGCAATTTAGGTGAGAAAGACTTCCAAATACTTGGCCCTGATCCGCGGATTAAAGCCCTATGTGATGAGGCACTAGTGTACTGCAATACAGGGAACGAGGGACATTCAAGAGAGTTGGATTCTCCGTTCATCCTCCAAAGTATCATATAGGAGTCTGCAAGGACGGATTAGGGAGGTGGGATGATGTAGTGCCTCTTCAAAGGATGCGCTGGCACCGACTCCAGTCGATTATCTCGCCAGAATGATCTTTCATGTTTTTTAAAGAAGAAAATTCGTGAATTTGAGTGTTACACAGTCGACTCTCTGTATAAGATACTTCGAGCGCCCTCACTCCCGGCGCCTCCCGAACGTTCGACCCCGAGTACTTTTTATAAGATACCCATAGCCCGGGTCATTTATTGACGAAAAAAGAGGGATCATGAGGGTCAAAACTCCCTCTCGAACCTCCCAGCGATTTGACCCTTACGATCACTTCACTCGCCTCTCCCGTTTGACCCTCCAGAGACTTTTCATTCCAGTGGTCGCGCTATGGTCTGAATGCTGCCATTTTTTTTATTTTCACGATATCTCTAGAAATGTGATGAATTACGCTCTGCCTATTTACGAGTTCCTCAAATCATATGTCCTGATGAGATTAAACACGACAGGGTTGCCCAGCACTGACAATTTTTTTCTCAATATTGATTGAAAACTGGTCAGTAGTAAATATTGATTCATCTCCTTGTACCACTTCGCTACTGATTTATAGAAAATGCTCGAAATTTTCAATAATTGTAGTTTTCAGTTGTGACATCATTGTCTAGGAGGACAATGGGGTCTAGGAGTCTCGGGTCTTCAATTGAAAGCCCGAGTTGAAGACCCGAGTTCTCATCCGTGACGAGTTCTCATCCGTGACCGAATGACTGAGAACACCTCCAACTCAAACACCTCAACATTAACCCCAGAACTCCTCAAACTTTGCGAAGCACCCGCTTTACTGCGCTCTCGCGGTATCTCTCGGTGATCATATCCCACAATTCCACAATAACGACACCGCTGCATTGTCGTCCTTAAATATCAGAGGTAAAATATTCCGTTTATCTCTTTGCCCGGGCACATCCACAGACAGGTGTGGGGTGATAAATATTTATGGCGGGAGATTTACGTTCACTTCTGCCTTTCACTGTAAATGCACTATTTGAACATTCGCGTTTGAGAATTTTCAATGAACACGGAAAGGGAAAAGTAAAATACATTCTATTGGAGATTTCAAGGAAACGATAAAAATAGTGAAATCATAATCAAACGGGGGTAAGTTACACATATTTTTCATATTTTTTTTTATTGAAAAACGAAGATGCTGAAATAAAAAATAGTAAAATTTGCTGAATAACAACGACATAAGTGTGGAGATAGACCCTTTTCGTTCTGGGAAGAACGTTTTTCTGTTAATTTTATTCCGAATAATAAATTTGAGAATGGAAATACTTCCGGGAATTGTTTCGACAATAAAAATAGTGGAATCATAATCAAAAGGGCGTAAGTTACATTTTGTCTTTTTTATTGTAAAAACTAAAATACTAAAATAAAAAAAATCGTGAAATTTGTATAATAACGACGACGTAAGTGGAGAGATACGCCCTTTTCATTCCGAGAATTAAGTTTTCTTTCTAATTTTATTCCGAATGATTTTGAGAATGAAAATATTTCCGAGAATTGTCTTAACATAAAAATCCCAACCTCTTGAGAGACGTGAAATCCATTTCAACTCAACCTCAAATATCAGAATGTCAGAAAATTCATAGTAAATAACCAAAGCAGGTATTTCCTCCTCAATGTATACATTCAACCCCTCGTCGTAGTTAATTGGCTGGCTATGCCCCTAGGACTGGCCCCGGGCACGTGAACTCTGCGGTATATTTTGTCTCAGAGCATAGCAGAACAGTACAAAGAATGAATTCCCGTGGAAAACCGAGGCTCCGTACACAGAGGAATAATACAACTCCTCGACTGAGCTTTGATACATACCGTTAATTCGTGTATTTCATGTTTATCCTTCATTCCTCTCGCATACCTCCCCCCTCACCCCCTCCTCCTCCTCCGTGATTTTTACCCCCTACCTATTGTTGCCTTACATCCAGTGAAAATGAAAATGCCGGTTCCATTCTCCCCGGCTATCTTCATGAGTCAGCACACGCAATGCGCCGTTTACAGAACAATTTTTTTGTCCGAATATTTTCTTTGTTTTCTTTCAATTAGAGATTGCAAATGGAATTGAACTCTCGGGGTGGAAGCGTTTGTCGGATCTAATGGAACATTTCCTGCGTGGAAATGTTTTTATTCAGTCAAGGTCGCTCAAGGTCATTGCTATTTACGGTTCAATTTAGTGTGCTTAATGGATTTTTCGGTTCAATGAATCTTCAAGGGAAGATATTAAAATAATTTGACAGGGACAGGGAGAAGAGGCGTTTTGTTTGGGAAGTGGATGTGCAGGGGAAATTTGTTTTATGAAGTTTAGAGGAGTTGGCGATGTGAGGAATAGGTTGTGTAACGATTTTCCATGCCTCGAGTCAAAAGCGATAGCAATTTCAACTAAAAATCAATGAGAACACAAAACTGATCTTCCCAGAAATTTGAATTTTTTCATTAATGAAACTATGACTGAACCTGATTTTAAGTCCTCGATTTTCGAAATTCTTTCTTTTATTTCGGTATGACGATTCCTGTTGTGACATGAATTCAGCTTTTGAGTTCAGGGTGTGACTTAAATTCAGGTACAAGCTTTAATTTGACTTTCAAGGTTACCACTTAAATTTAGGTCACGCCTGAAATGACTCAACCTGATTGTAACTTTTCGATTTTCATTGGAAATTAATTTTTTCATTTCAATCATTGACTCCGATTTACGCTGTGACACTAACTCAATTTATTTTAATTCAGGCTACCACCTGATTTTAAGCCATCACTTAAATAGCGTAAGTTGTTACTTAAATTTAGGTTGCGCCTTAAATTGAGGTTGCAACTCAAATTTAAATTGCGATTAATTTACATCGTGTCTTAATTCAGGTCCAAACTTCAAATTAGATTGTAATATCAACTTACGTCGCCAATTAGACGGTGTCTTAAATTCAGGTGCACTCTCCAAATCAGGTCGCGACCTTTATTTCGATTGTAGCTCAAATTTAATGCTGAAAATGTCCCCAATTGGGTGCGTTTTTTGCATGAATAGTTCGCGAATTTGGTAATGGTTTGACTGCGCTCCAGGTTCGATTTGAATTTGTCAGTTAATTCTATCTCACCGAGGGACACGACCAGAGGTGTCAACAATAAGTTCCTTTGCCAACTCAACGCCACTGGGAGGCTGTTGGCATGTGGTGAATGTCAAGCAAATCACTAACCAGCGAGCATTTACGTGGGATGCATCGAGCGTCCTAATCGCCCCTGAAACGCTTTTCAAATCCCCGGTAACGGGTAAAACGTTCTGGAGAAAATTTGAATTCAATCGTTCACTGAATATTTACTTGAATTATCAAGAATCATTAGGAAGAATTCAAACGCAAGCCAAAAGAGAGTTGGAAAAAAATTCAGATATCTTTTTTTTTCATCTCGATAATTTAAAAAAATGATGAAGGGTCAAATGACCCGTGACCCTTGAACAGCTGCCACTATAAAAAATTTGGTTGAGTGTTATCACCCACGTCTACGTCGCTGAATTCAATATTTAAAAAAACGGATTCAATATTACAGAGGGAAAAAACTTCTCACAAATTATCCAGCGTTCGAGTTAATTCAATATCCTCTACTATGAAAATTTTCTCGACTGCAGTAACTCTCAGAAACCATTTTCCCCTTCTACCCTAGGTAATCAACTTCCTCCCCTCAACCTCATTACCAATGAACAATTGAAAATTCTTGAACATCCTTGGAAAGTAACGTGCCCCCAATACAAGATAGATTAAATTTCACCCCTTAATTCTAGTTGGAGAAACAACTCTCTTGTGTAATTAGATGACGAGTCTGTCGAGTCGAAAGCCCATAAAAAGTTTTCCATTCGCGCCCCAACTGGCAGTACCGGAGGATGAGTCGAACAATGAGACGAACTGGGTATCAAGGAGGTGGAAAAAATGAGCGCCAGAGTGGAGACTGGGAATTGGATATTTGTTGACTCAATGTAGCATCATCAGATTCGTTCCATTCTGGAAATTTTCGCATCGATTCTGGTACTTCAGCGCTTCTCACTCTCTCCTTATTGCTGGAATTTTCCATGATTGAGACGAAGGATTTGATATATTCAGACCTCAGGTGAGAAGCAAATGATTGAAGGTAATAGGAATGCAGAAATGAGAAATTTGGGTTTTTTATTTTATGAAATTCTAGCCGGACCTGATTTTCAAGCCCGTGATTTTTGCTGAAAATTAATTTTTTCATTTGATATTTTGACTGCGGTTCATGTTGCAATTTAAATTTAGATCTAGGCTTAAATTCAGGTCGTGGCTTAAATTCAGATCGTGTCTTAAATTTAGTCTGTGAATTTCGATTCTAAGTTGAATTCAGATTTGAATTGGTAAGTGACTTAAATTAAGATCCAATAAATTGAATTTTATTCGCAACTGGTCACGACTTAAATTCAGGTCGTGTCCTAAATTCACGTTGCGACTTACATTTCGGTAAAAATTCAAATTTGGGTGCAGCCTCGAATCCAGGTAGCGATTTCAATCTGGGCTGTGACTGAAATTTAGGTCACGACTTAAATTCAGGTCATAACTCAAATTTGAATTATGCGATCAGTTTAGATTGTGGCTTAAATTC